CCATGTACTATCCAACTAGGCAGGTGTGCCCTGACTGATCTTGTTCCTTCCCTGTCCATACCCTGTCCCACGCCTGCAGAAGGAGTTAGCGGCTGCATAAATGCAGCTCTGCTACACAGTGCATAGAGGATAGGCACTCTATACAACAACTCTGAGTTGGTCGTAATTACCTGAAGTTTGGTTATCTGCAAACTGTAGGTAATTATTTTTGAAGCTGGTGCATTCATATTGGTATTTTGTAAAGTGGGGATATTAAATACCTGAATTTGCCATATCTGTTGGTAAAGCTACCAAAACTGGCAACAGAGATTTTCAAATCTGGCCCACATTAAATGAGTTATAGTGCCAGAAAAGTGTGCTTTATTGAATCCCTGCCCCACTGTATGGTTATATTGCATAGCTTTATTACCTGCTGTTCTTGCCAGTAGGTCTTTTATTTATCCATTTACATTAACATGGTGATAACACTGTTCTTTCTGCAATGAAATCCCACAGCATTGCTGTCATCCCATGGATAGGGATGTTTCAATGGACATGTAGCTTTTATGGAGGAATAGACTCCCTCCAGTCATACTTGCCCTTAATTTATCCACTGCTTAATATGCTCTAATTTGGAGACTCTCAAATATATCGGTTAGAATCGCTTTTACAGAAGAGCCTTAGCAAGGCAGAGCAGCTTCCACATATGCAAATGTGCACAACTAAAACTTAATGTGCTTGGAAATTTTATTTGAGCTATGCAGCAGCCCTCCTGGTCCAATGTTTATCGCGGGCAATGCCCCAAGAGCCTTCAGGGACTCGACTATTCAGCTGAGGATCACTGCCCTGGACCTGTATAGCACCTTACAAGTCCACAAGGGAATACAGCATTGCACAGGGCCAGGTTCTCAGTGGCAACTTTACAGGCTGCCCTAGTGTGTCCAGAGGAAGCCATAAGAAAATGGATCCTAAAAGAGCTAGTCTCCTAATCCCAGATGGAACCGTTGAGAAGCTATGTTTACATCCAGAGACTGCACAGACATGGCCACCACCTAAAACGCTAGCAACAAAGCATAAGCCTTGCCTAACAGGAAGGTGTTATGCCTAGGTGCGGATTTCCTAACTTTTTTTGCCTGTGTCCAATCTTCTGGAGGTGGCAGCATAGCCCTATCATAATGAAGGTGAAGATACCCTGTGTCCTAAGATGCAAGGATATAAACCCACTTTGCTGCACAAAAGGCCTTTGCAAACCCAGATACCACCTAATAAAAGTAGCAGTCACATCACTGTGCTGTACACTGCCTGTGCAGAAAGCCAGCAGACGCCACCCACTGCAGGTTGTCTGCAGAAAACTACAGGAGAGGTGTGGATACAAGACCCTGCACATTCAGAGAGAACAGGAGTGACCAGACTTTATTACAAGTAAGGTGTCACACTGGATTACTGCACAGATCTGGGATTAATACACAAAGCAAACCAAAATTCAAATAAGAATACACAAGCCTTCTGTTTTTAGACAATATTGGTTGATCCCATCATTCAACTTTAAGCTAAAGGGAGGGTCCTGTGTAAGGGTTAGACAAACAGAAGGTTAAACAGTTATAAAGGCTGTGCTTTTTTTTTTTTTTTTTTGTTTAAATAACAAGCATATTATATTTACCTGTTCTGTGCAATGGAATTGCACAGGGAAGTCCTAAACTCTCTTCTAGGGTACCCTGCTGGTGCTCTCAGCCCTTCCTCTTCTGTGTCAACCACCAAGCCACTTACTATGGGGGCAGATGTGTGGGGTCACTGCTGAGCCAGGCTGTGTGTGTCCATAGACACACACAGTGAGTGGTCTCGACCCCGCAACCCCCCCTCCTTCTCCTGTTCTCTGCTGACAGAATTTGACGGCCAACAGCAGGAGTCAATGGCTCTCCCACTGCTGCCTTCTACTGACCCAACCCCTAACCATTCGCTGGGATGACGAGTGTACTGCTTTTTCTCCTCCCTTAGCTCCTTGTACAGATGAAACCAGAAGGAACAGTATCTCACAGAAGTGAGTACTCATTTTTGCAAATGTACAGTTATACAAGCTGTACACTCACTACTTTACATAGAAGCAAATTGTCATTTCGTCAGTGTTGTCACATGAAAAGATATAAAATATTTACAAAAATGTGAGAAGTGTACTCACTTCTGTGAGATACTGTATGTGATCACTTATAAAAAGGGTAAAAAAAAAGGAAAGTATAAGGATATACACACGTACAATATATATACACACACACACAGCTTTTTTTCAGCGGGAACATGGGGGAACAGTTCTGGCACCTCCAGCAAAGAATGTAATGGCATGGGATGCTGGGGTGTGCTTAAGGGTCGATTGATACTGGCTGCTGGGGACATATTGTTAAGAGGGAGATCTATTTTTGTGGGGGGTCTGTTGTGCTGGGGAGCTCTACTGATGGGTGATCTATTGTTGCTGGGGGTGGGTCTTATATTGCTGGGGTGGGGTCAATTGTTGATAGGATGGATCTACTGCTGAGACAGGGTTCTAATATTGATGACTGCTGGGGGTCTATTGTTTGCTGGCTGAAGGGGATCTATTTCATATAAGTAAAATGATACTTGGTTTTGTATTCTCTAAAAGAACAGTACCGGGAGGAGGTGGAACCATGGAACAGTGCTCAGAGGTGTGCAGGGGGCAGAGACTTAGAAAGGGAGAGTTCCTGCACCTATTCTGAGGAGAAAAAAAAAAAGCCCTGTGTGTGTAATATATATATATATATATATATATATACCCATTGTAATGTACAGCACTGAGCGAACTATTGGCGCTTTATAAATACTGAATAATAATAATAATATACATACATATACACACAGTTGTGTTCAAAATAATAGCAGTCAGACATCACTAACCTGATCAATCACTGTTTTTGGTAGAAATGATATTTCTACATGGCAAATAATTTACTAGCAGGTGTAGTAGAGTAATAGAAATCCAACAGACCCAACAGTCATGACATGCATGCTGCTGATTCTGCGTAATTGAATCACTAATTGAAAGTGGCATGTTCAAAATAATAGCAGTGTGGAGTTTTATTAGTGAGGTCATTCATTCTTTGAAAAACAGGTGGCAAGTATTGCTCTTATTTAAGGAAGGAAGGCAGCAAATGTTGTACATGCTGGTTAAAGTGCATTTCTCTCTGAAATTCTGAGGAAAATGGGTCGTGTAGAAAATGATAGGCTGCTCAGCTAAAATGATCGCAAATGCTTTAAAATGGCAACCAAAACCTGAAAAGACGTGGAAGAAAGCAAAAAACTACCATTCGAATGGATAGAAGAATAGCCAAAATGGCAAGAACTCAGCCAACAATCAGCTCCAGGAAGATCAAAGAAGGTCTAAAGTTACCTGTGAGTACTGTTACAATTAGAAGAAGCCTATGTGAAGCCAAGCTATCTGCAAGAAGCCCCCGCAAAGTCCCACTGTTGAACAAAAGACATGCTGAAGAGGTTACAATTTGCCAAAGAGCACATTGACTGGCCTAAAGAGAAATGGCGCAACATTTTGTGGACTGATGAAAGTAAGATTGTTCTTTTTGGGTCTAGTGGCCGGAGACAGTTTGTCAGACGACCCCCAAACACTGAATTCAAGCCACAGTACACTGTGAAGACAGTGAAGCATGGTTGCGCAAGCATCATGATATGGGGATGTTTTTCACACTACGGTGGTGGGCCTATTTATTGCATACCAGGGATCATGGATCAGTTTGAATACATCAGAATACTTGAAGAGGTCATGCTGCCTTATGCTGAAGAGGAAATGCCCTTGAAATGGGTGTTCCAACAAGACAACGACCCCAAACACACCAGTAAATGTGCAACATCTTGGTTCCAGACCAACAAGATTGACATTTATGGAGTGGCCAGCCCAATCCCCGGATCTTAATCCAATAGAAAACTTGTGGGGTGACATCAAAAATGCAGTTTCTGAGGCAAAACCAAGAAATAGATTAGAACTGTGGAATGTAGTCCAATCATCCTGGGCTGGAATACCTGTTCACAGGTGCCAGAAGTTGGTTGACTCCATGCAACACAGATGTACAGCAGTTCTCAGAAACAGTGCTTATACAACTAAATATTATTAAGTGATTCAAAGGAAAGCAAAATCTTCAAACAATTTTCAGTTTATATAGTGAATGTTTGAGTTTGTAAAGAAGAATACAAACACTGCTATTTTTTTGAACAGTCTAATATTCACTTTTCTTCAATTTTTTTTTAGAGGAACAACACAAATTTGATATATTTTTCTTCATGTTTTGATTTGGAATAGAATATGTAGTGTGCCCAATGCATTTGTGTGTATGGAAATAAAAGCTATTAGAAGGATTTTGAGCTTTATTCACGTTTTTCAACACACTGTTATTATTTTGAACACGACTGTATATATGTATATATATATATATATATATATATATATATATATATATATATATATATATATATATATATATATATATATATATATATATATATATATATATATATACATATATACATATATATATATATATACACACACACACACACACACAATTTTGCTTTCCATTTCTATTCTAAACCAAATGGGTTGTTTTACAAGTTGAGGGTTTAATGCAGAAAATTCATTAATGTTAAAAAAATTGTTATTACTTCAGAAACCACTTTAAGGATGGGGTTTAAAGTACATTAGTCACTGTTCTTTATTTGTTTTTGAGCCACAGAACAATACCAGCACTGGGTTATTGGTGCAGAAACCTAATATCCTACCTATAACTACAAGCACTGCTACCTCCCAGTTCTGGCAATGGATTTTATCATTAGAGCATATTTCATCATACCATACCATATGTGGCCTAGTTTACTACTGGGGCACTTGCACTAGAGATTAGATTAGGCAACCAATCTTCACATGTCTTCATAGGCTTAAGACTTACATATGTATCTATACTCGGACATAGGCAAAAAAAATGGCCTGTACCTAAGCTCTTACCTATTTACATGAGAGAGCAGGGCAATCGGATACAGCCTTGGCTGCTGTCTTCACTGCTGTCCAGTTTTTTCATTCTGTACTGATGGATTTCACGGACCAGTGTATAGAAAGCATCTTCAACACCCTACGTTAACAATTTAACAAACAACAAAAAGGTTCATAAATAAGTGTAAAACCACAGTACTATTTATGAACGTTTTCACTTTACATGGTTAATATACTTTATAAAATAGTAATAAGTGCAAAAACTATAAACAAAATTGGTAATACATGGAAACCAATTATCAGGCTACTTTTGTTAGAAAAATGTGATTGTATAGGATAATTTTTTTTTTTTCAAAAATAACAAACACACGTTATACCTACTTGCTCTGTGCAATGGTTTTGCACAGAGCAGCCCCAATCCTCCTCTTTTCAAGTCCCCTGCCAAGGCACTTGGCTTCTCCCCCCGCCGAGTGCCCCACAGCAAACTGCTTGCTATGGGAGCACTTGTGCATGCCGCCTCCCAAGTCGGCTCTGTGTGTGTCACACAGCTTTCAGTTCAAAAGCCTGCATCTCTGATGGTATAGGGGTGCATTGTTGCATATTGAATGGACAAGACTGCACACCTGGAAAGACATCATCATTGCTGAAAGATATAGCCAAGGTTTTAGAGCAGCATCCCATCCAATGTCTTTCAGGGAAAGCCTTGCATATTTCAGCAGTGCAATGCTAAACCACATACTGCATCTACAGTTGTGACCAAAATTATTCAACCCCCACTGAAATTGAGTGTTTTGCCAGTTTGACATTGCTTTTGATCATTCAGATCTTGCTTACATTTACATTAAAGAGGCACTTGTAGGTCAGACAAATATAACATAACAGTTATAATGAAATAACCACAAATGTCTTTTCTGTGCTCACAGCATTATCAGTTTTATTCAACCCCCAAGTGACATTCAATCTTAGTACTTAGTACAGCATTTTTACAGTTATAACAGCTTTTAAACGTGAAGCATAGCTTGACACAAGTGTCTTGCAGCGATCTACGGGTATCTTCGCCCATTCTTCATGGGCAAAGGCCTCCAGTTGTCACATTCTTAGGCTTGCGCACTGCAACTGCTTTCTTTAAGTCCCACCAGAGGTTCTCAATGAAACAAAGTCTGGTGACTGCGATGGCCACTCCAAAATGTTCCAGCCTTTCCTCTGCAACCATGCTCTAGTGGACTTGGAGGTAATGCTTGGGATCATTGTCCTGTTGAAAGGTCCAACGTCTCCCAAGCCTCAGGTGTGTGACGGACTGCATCACGTTTCCATCCAATATCTCCTGGTACTGAAGAGAATTCATGGTACCTTGCACACGCTGAAGCTTCCCTGTACCTGCAGAAGCAAAACAGCCCCAAAGTGATTGACCCTCCACCATGCTTCACAGTAGGCAAGGTGTTCTTTTCATCATAGCCTTGTTCTTCCTCCTCCAAACATAGCGTTGGGGCCCAAACAGTTCTAATTTTGTTTCATCAGTCCACAGAACACTATCCCACAACTTTTGTGGTTTGTCCACATGGCTTTTGGCATACTGCAGTCGACTCTTCTTATTCTTTGGAGACAGCAAGGGGGTACGCCTGGGAGTTCTGGCACGGAGGCCTTCATTACGCAGTGTGCGTCTTATTGTCTGGGCTGAAACTTCTGTACCCACATCTGACAAATCTTTTCTCAGTTCCTCAGCAGTCACACGGGGACTTCTCTCCACTCTACGCTTCAGGTAGCGCACAGCATCGAAGTCAGCATCTTCTTTCTGCCACGACCAGGTAGCGTTTCAAAAGTGCCCTTTGCCTTGAATTTGCGAATGATGCTTCCTAAGGTGTCTCTTGGTATGTTTTTAACATCTTTGCAATCTTCTTATAGCCATTGCCCTTCCTGTGAAGAGAAATCACCTCTTCTCTTGTCTTCCTGGACCATTCTCTTGCCTTCACCATGTTTTGTAACCACACCAGTAAATGTCTGTATCAAGATTTTAAAGCTGCCTAATTGGTGCTTAATGCTTGATTGCTGCTCGGTGACATCCACAGGTGTTTTCAATACCTGATGGAAAGCACCTGTATGAACCTCTGTTCTTCAGAGTGGTAGTCTTTAAGGGGTTGAATAATTGTGGCAATGAAGAAACCACATAAGAACCATTTACTACTGTATTTACATAAACAATTGATGTCATTTTAGTTGCATTTGGGTAGTTACAACGTCCTTGTAGGATTTGATTCTGAATACAATTCCAAATGTACACTATAGTCCCTAAACCCCTTTACAGCATTGGGGGTTGAATAATTTTGGTCACAACTGTATGAAAACAGTATGGCTTCATAGTAGAAGAGTCTGGGTGCTTAACTGGCCTGCCTGCACTCAAGACCTTTCACCAAATGAAAATACTTGGCGCATCTTGAAACAAGAAATATGACAGAAGAATATAAGACCCAGGACTGTCCTATATCAAGAGAGAATGTGATAACATTTCTCTCCAAAATTCAAGCAACTGGTCTCCTCTGTTCCCAAACATTTACAGAGTGTTGTTAAAAGAAGAGAGGATGCTAAACTGTGGAAAACATGGCCCTGTCCCAACTTTTTTAAGATATGTTGCTGCCATCAATTTCAAAATGACCTTATTTTTTCTTAAAATACACTCTCTCAGTTTAAACATTTGATCTGTTTAAGATTTTCTATTAAAATATGGGTGAATATAAAATATGGGTTTATTAATTTTGAAAATCATTACATTCTGTTTTTGTGTAGCTTCCCAACTTTTTTAGAATTGGGATTGTACTTTCAACCCTAGTTCAATCCTGATAGCTAATTTTTTTTTTGCATTTAGATAGTAGTTACGTAACTGAAAGTGAACTTACTCAATTAGGACTTTTTTTTTGTAAAAAGCTTCTATAATTTGAATACTCAGAAGAAAGAAATGTTAATAAAGGCGTGTTCTTATATCCCCCTGTGGGCAGTCCTGCCCTTCCATTTGTCAGTCAGATTCACCCATTTATGTGCAGTTTCCACAGTTCGATGTTTAAAAAGTTCATACCTGTCTTGTTTTTGCAGAGGTCTCAATGAAGGGAATACCATAACTTCTGGCCAGCTCCTGAGCTTGCTTGGTGTCTACAGTCCTGGTTGGTAAATCACACTTGTTACCTACAAGTACCATAGGGACATCATCAGAGTCTTTCACTCTCTTTATTTGTTCTCTGTGTAAAAAAAAAAAAAAAAAGACGTTTTTAGGGAACAGCACAATATATTAATGCTACTTAATCAATACAGCAATGCCATGAGCAATAAACAATGTGCAAATTGCAGTAATCTATCATATTTACTAAACTCATAAATGACCGAAGAATACAGATTTGTTGCTCTTGGTTACTAAACTGCTCCTTGCTTTGCTGAATAAGCTTGCTACCAATGTAATGAGCAATGTCTGCGAAGCACTATTTCCTGTTTGCGTGCATTTAAAAGCCATAAACAGATATTTGTATGCCCAGTTGGTCTCTACCGTTGCCCAGAAATAACTTGGCACAACAGATATTTAACTTTTTTTACTGTCATTGATGTAAGGGTTATGTCGCAACAGAACTGCTTTCTTGCTAGCTTAGTAACCCTTACACCCCTTTGCATTTTCATAGGTTATATTGATGGCTGTTAAGGGCCATCTTTCAGAAATGTGAAAAATAGCTAAAACAGTCTGGCCACCCAAAGTGAAAAATGAGAGACTGGGACTGGCAACAAAAGGGTTAAACATGCCATAAGAAAGAATTGTCCTTGTATGTTTCGCACAAGAAGGTGTGTGCACTTTCCTGTAATAAAATGTTATTAATTACCTATAGGAATTGATGTCAGCAAAAGACTTGCTATTGTTAATAGCAAACACGCAAAGGAACCCTTCACCAGTTCGCATGTACTGGTCACGCATGGCACTGTACTCCTCTTGGCCTGCAGTGTCCAAAATATCCAGCAAACATGTCTCCCCATCAATCACCACCTGCTTTCTGTAAGAGTCCTAGAGCAAAACATGGAAAAATGAATTACGATTATGACACAATATAGGTAGACGTCATTGGTCTAATTGTTCCTGCTGCCTTCTTAGATCTTTGGTGGAGCTTCAGCTGGAAGATCTGTACACAAATTCAAATAGTTCCCAACCCACTGCTTGGTATCTTAAACCCTTCTGCTAATCATTCATACTACAAAATACCTCAGATACTCTGAAGATGATCTGTGTACTTGAGTCTGCCCACCTGCAACAGATGACTCGGACATACTGAAATGCACAGAGAGAATGCCTTTGTGGTGCTAGACTTAAAGGATCGGGGCAGAAATCTTGCCTTGGAATTTACTCAAAGTCTAAAAACAAAAAAACATCTTAACTGGTGTGTACGGTGACAAGTGTGAAACTGTGTGACTTACCTCAATTGTAGGATCGTATTCATCTACAAAATGGTTCTGTATAAGCTGTATTGTTAAGGCACTTTTTCCAACACCCCCGGCTCCCACCACCACCAGCTTGTATTCCGTCATTTCTGTAGACCAATTCCCTGACAGACAAAGAGAACATTCAGCAGACTTTTTATACCCAACTTGTATTAAGGGAAACATACAGACTGTAGACCTTTTTCTGAAAGGTAGCTATTTTTCTGAAAATGGTAGCTGTCCGGATGACTGTCATGCTTTCTGGTACACTGAATAAGCATGCAGTCAGCAAAGACAAACCCCAAAATCTATATACAAAAGAAAAATTCCCTGGCAAATCTATTGGTCCATAGTGACATCCTATGGAAACCCCCAATAAGACACAGAAATGCTGGAATGCGTAGATGTGGATCATTTGAACATTGTGGTTATATGATCGAGGGTAATAGATTGGTGTTGCCTACGGGAAGGACCCGCAGGTGCAATCAGTGAGTGACATGTGACACAACGGGAGTGGTATGTGTTATTTTGTGCACCTGTGGGTCCTTCTATGTTGGCAAGCCCACCTGGACAGCCCACAGACGCTCACAAGACCATATAAACAAAATTTCCATGTATCACTTGAAGGCTCCAATTGCATGCCATGTGTGCTTGGAGAATGAGAAGGACCCCAGATGTTTAAGTATGTGGGTAGTTGAAGTAGTCCCCCCAAAATAATAGGGGAAGCAATTTTGACCGACTAATATTACAACATGAGACCAGGTAAATTTGGGAGCAGGAAGCAACAAAACCACCTGGCCTCAATGACAGTCTGACTTTTTCTTCATTTGTGCTTTAAAATGTTATCTGTGCAGTATCCCCAAGAATTGGTGACAGCGCCTTCTAATTAGCTGTTTATGAAAAAATAATATGTCTATACATTACGCAAGTTATTTTTTTATATATATATATATATGTTTGAAGGTTATGGCCCTCGATTGATTTATGTTAATGTACATGTAAATGTATTTTGGTATTTGATAAAAAAAAAAAAATGATCCAATGTGGCAGGAGGTTTGGGGGTAATGTAGGTTATTGAGGAGATTTATTATTTATTATAAACCTTCATAGAGCCTATATTTATTAATGATTCACAGTAGTTGTATTTCATTTTTTCATTCCCTTAGTACTGTCAGGGGTGTGGACATTTTTGAAAAAAACTACTTGTCCAGGGACTAAATCAGTGCCCCAATCTACTTGTCCCTCATGACAATCTACTTGTCCTGATAAAAAAAAAAAAAAAAAAATGTTTTAACCAAAACCATATTTAAATCGGAGGTGCTTTTAGGAATGTCTGGGGCTTTTAACCACTTGCCCTCCTGAGGATTTACCCCCCTTCTTGACCAGGCCTTTTTTTGCTATTCGGCACTGCACTATTTCAACTGGTGATTGCGCGGTCATGCAATGCTGTACCCTAACAAAATGTATGTCCTTTTTTGCACACAAATAGAGCTTTCTTTTGGTGGTATTTGATCACCTGCGCGCTTGTTATTTTTTGCACTATAAACAAGAACAGACCGAAAATTGTGAAAAAAAGAAAAAAACAAAAAAAAAAACAATATTTTTTACTTTCGGCTATAAAAAATACATAGTAAACTCAAAGTTAGTCATACATTTAGGCCAAAATGTATTCTGCTACATGTTTTGGTAAAAAAATCCCAATAAGTATATATTGATTGCTTTGTGTGAAAGTTATAGGATCTACAAACTATGGTATGGATAATGGAATTTACACAGCTTTTACTTTCTGACTATCAGTAGACATCCTAAGCTATCTACTTAGAGGCATATTGAGTCTATGGAAGATTTATTTTTTTTTCCACAAGTTTTTGGAAAATTACATTTTTTCTTTTTTCTTTTTTTTTTTTTACACACAGAGTTGTTGATATATTGCTTACGCAAGACGTGGGTATATGTGGAATTACACCCCAAAATACATTCTGCTACTTCTACCAAGTATGGTGATACCACATGTGTGAGACTTTTTGGGAGCCTAGCCACATACAGGAGCCTGAAATCCAATGACCACTTTGAAAACCTGAAGGTGCGCAATTTACTCATTTCACTTCCTCACTACCTATCACAGTTTCAGAAGCCCTGAAATGCCAGGATAGTACCAACCCCCCCCCCCCCCCCCCCCCAAATGACCTATTTTTGGAAAGTAGACACCCCACGGAATTTAAAAAGAGGCATGATGAGTATGTTGCAGATTTCATGTTTTCTTACAAAGTTTTGAAATATAAAAAAAAGAAAAAAATGTTTTTGTTTTTCTTTAATTTTCCAAAAACTTGTGGCAACAAACGATATCTGCAAAATACTCACCATGCTTCTTCGTTTGGGGTGTCTACTTTCCAAAAAGGGTCATTTGGGGGGGTTGGTGCTATCCAGGCATTTCAGGGCCTCCGAAACTGTAATGGGTAGTCAGGAAGTGTAATGAGGAAATAAAGCCCTTTAAAAGCCTGAAGGTGCTTATTGGATTTTGGGGTCCTGTACTTGGCTAGACTTCCAAAATGTCTCTCACATGTGGTATCCCCATACTCGGGAGAAGTAGCAGAATGTATTTTGGTGAGTAATTCCACATATACCCGTTGCATGTGTGAGCAATAAATCATGTAAGTGACAATTTTGTGTAAAAAAAAAAAAAAAACTTGTCATTTTCCAAAAACCTGGGATAAAAAAATAAATTCTTATTGAGAGAGAGAACTGCGGGAGCGCAAATCACGTACAAATATGTGATTTTGCGCACCTGTGCCACCCTGTAGTAGTATTACTACTATAGGGCGGCACAGAAACGGTTAAAAAAACAAAAAGGGGCTTTATGAAAACTTAAATGTTTAATATTTTTAACATTGCGCTGTTTATGTCCTCCTCACCTCCCTACCTGTCTCCAGCACCGCACCCAGGAGTAGCAGGGAGGATAGAGACTTTGCAGTGCAATGAGTACCCTAACATGCAAGATGACAAGTTTGCCATCAATGTGATTTGATATTCAACGGAGGACTGAATCTGCCTTTCTTTGTTGACCTTCACCATCAATGATGCCAAGTTTACAGCAGGTGTGATTCACTTTCACAGCGATATTATTTTGAGGATCCAGTATCAATGGGATTTCTACAGATCATATGCGTACAGGATGACTTGTATTGATATGCTTGTTTAGGGATGATATGGTCTCTTTCTTGACTATACCCATAGATTACAGTGATTTCTATATCTATATGAATGTCTGTGAGAGGGACATATATTGACCACCTTAATCGCTTCTCAACCGCCCTATAGCAGAAATGTTGCTACAGTCACGGGGTGTGCAAAATCATGTATATATACACAATTTCCAGGGTACGGGGTGTGCACGAGGCGCGCGCCCTACCCACACTGCCATTCGCAGCCGTCCATTTACGGGGAAAGCATCGCTGACAGGGAGGAGAACTGTTTGTAAACAAAACACACTGCTTTGGATAGCACACGGGCATATGACGAATCAGGCCTGAAGCACACACACAGCTCCCTATGTAAAACAGCACACTGTTAACCCTTTGATCGCCCCACATTAACCCCTTCCTGCCCAGTGCCATTAGAATAGTGTCAGTGCTTTTTTTTTTTTATAGCACTGATCACTGTGTTGGTGTCAGATCCCCCCAGTGTCAGAATTCCTGCTGCCATTTCTAGTAAAAAGTGCATATATATATATATATATATATATATATATATATATATATATATATATACACACACACACATACATTTACATACACACACACACACATATACACATACACACACACACACACACACACACACACACACACACACACACACACACACACACACACACACACACACACACACACATATTTCAATATTTCTCCTGGGGATCACAGGAGTACAGTTAGTTATCTGCTCCTGTGACCTGTTTTAAGCCAACAGTGGGCTAAAGCATGCTGTGGCTGATAGAGCAAAAGATCTGCTCCAGGTGAGCGTGGAATCTGCATAACCCCTCCACAGACACGCAGTTGCTGGCCTGATCCGTGATCACAGATGCAATGGAAAAACAGAATGGTTGGCTACACAAACAGCAATGTGATGGATGAAATCCTTTATTGGAATCCTTTACATGCAATATAAGAACATGACAGCTCCATCCACCACATTGCTGTTTGTGCGGCCAACCATTCTCTTTTTCCATTGCATATAGTGGCTGATATCACAGAGCCCATTCAGGCTCTTTAAAAATCCCGACCATATGGTCAGTATCCACCCAGAAGCCTTGACTGACACCTGGCTCAGCCTCTCAACCATCCTGCACCAGCCACTCCCAGCACCTCCAAAGCCTGACACTCCAGTGAGTGCTGGAAGGGCAGAGCAGAGAGCCAATGACTAAACAGTCACTAGCCCTCTGCTCACGAAACACTGAGAACTGAGCTATCAGTGGTCATTGATCGCTCAATTCTCCATTCCATTTTTTACTTAATTTCTACAATTAGTTTATGGATTGTGCTTTTAGTGGCACTTATATTTTTTATTTTCATGTGATTTAAATTAAAATATTATTTGATCACTCATGTTATCTTAAGATTATATACCACTGGCAGCCTGTAAGATGTGGGTTATTTTTTTATGAGCAAAACTGTATAATGAGGGAAATAGCAGTAAGCTACTACAGAATAGACCCAAACAATCTACTGAATAACTCATGACAACCTAAAAAAAAGTTACAAACAGATAAAAAAGGTTCTAAATAAGATCAGAAGCAGAGAAAAAACAAATGTCTGTGTCTAGCAACTAGCACAAAACATGCAAGCTGATATGAGTCGGGCAGCCAAGTGCCTGTTTTTAAAAACAGGAATGTTGTCAAGCAGTTATTATGACACGTAATAAAATTAAACCACAAAAATGATGAATAAGACGGAAGCTTCCTTTTCCTTTTAACATGCTCATGACCTCTTGAAGTAAATAATATAAACAAAAAACACACGAATAAAGTAGAACTACTAAATCAGTATTCTCTGCATCAAAAGTCAAAAAACACTTACTACTGATTAGGATCACATGCCCCTACTGCTGGGTAC